AGCCGAATATCCGATAGGGGGCTTGCAGAGCGGCGCAACTCATGCTACCTGTTGCCAACCTCTTCAATTCGCAGCGAAAAGAACGTCTCACGGCACCAGAAAATTTTCCTAGTCTATCGGCGGACCAGTCATTAGAAGAATGGGAGAATGCGTCGATGTTTTTGGTCGAGCAGGACATGGCGCCTCAAGCCCAGCTGTTCAGTCCTGTACGAGAGGTGCCTGAAAACTTGCGGGATTGTCTCAGTATGTATGAGGAGGAAAAGCTGCAAGAAAATCTGGATTCTCCTGTGGACGCAGACTCCTCTACCATCACGAAAAGCTGTGCGAAAGAAGCCCTGGACAGGGATACGAGTGGCTTGCCTTTTGCCGTTTTACCCTCAGAAACGCCACGACAGTTGAGCAGGCGACTTTACCAGTATACCAAGCAGCATTTGCAGTATCAAGGTCAGACAGCACGCATGCTATCAGCCACAGACTCTCCGCTGCTGCAAGATGCCTTGGATTGCCACTTGGAGCGTTTTCACTTTGAACGATATCCCATCGACATGGCACTGCGCCAATTCCTCTCTCTTGAACTCTTACCTTTAGAATCTCAGCAAGTGGATCGCGTCTTAGAAGCCTTTTCGCGGAGGTATCAGGCCTGTAATCCCGCCATTCTTGATCACGACAGTGTTTATTTATTGGCCTTTGCATTGCTCCTATTGCATACGGATGCCTTCCACAAGAGTGTTCGGCCTCGCATTTCCAAAGCGGAATTTGTGAGTATGACGGAAGCAAGCCATGTTCACCGCGCCATTCGTGAGTACTTGTACGACAACACGTCACTCGTTGAGTTTGCCTATACCCGAAACAATACCACTCTCGCAGCCAATCGTGACCAGAACGCGCTATACAAGGTCTTGTCCCACGGCAATCTGCTCCAACTACAGCAAGACCCTCGCATTGTTCAGGAGCGGGTTCGCCTGCCACTTTCCTTTACAGGGAAGCAGCCATTACCACAGGCGCTTCACAGCGAAACCATGAATGCGCCCTTGTTAGAGTTTCGCTCCATATCCAGGTTTGCGCGCAAATGGACGCTGACGTACGATCATTCGGACACGATGCCGTTTCTGATCCGTCTCGTCGGCGTAGCTGTGGTAAAACGATGTGATTCCCCGGAAGGAGACAAGCGGGGCATGGGCACAAAATGGAAGCCTTGGGGGATGATCATCACCGGCTCCACTATCCTTTGGTGTAAGAATATCAACGAATTTACGTCGATGGCGTTGCAAACTCCAACCTCCCAGCCGATCAACCTCAAAGTGGATGAAGTTACGCCTCTCTCTCAGGCACTGTGTGTTTCTCAAAATGACAGCATTCTGCGTCTGCGAGTGAATGAACGATGGTACTTGATTCAGCTGCAGCACGAGCACACTGATAGCTGGATGAACCGGATCAACTACGTCGCAAGCTTAGGAAGCTGTACTTTGGTATGGGACGATGGTTTGATGATACCCGCTGGTGCTTCACTCCAGATACGGCACTCGTCCCTCTCTGTTCCAGGGCCAGTGCGAACAGGTGCCCAGCCTGGGAAGGCACCCCAGCCGCACCATATGTACCTGGAGTGTTCAAAAGCAACATCGCTGGCTCTTGCCCAGTCGGTTCTCTCCATCCATATGTATTTGGCTTCTCACCGCCAACGGCGCGACATGCTGGTGGAAGAACACCAACGCCAGGTCCAGACCCTAGAGCATATGGGCATTCTGACGCCCTTGCAGCGGGCAACACGGGACAATCTACAACAAGCTAGCATCGCCATGTCACACGCTTTGCGGCGTACCCAAATTGAATTGACATTTTTATCCTGCCGCGTTCATTTTTTGGAGGCAGAGCAACGAGCCCTACAAGAACGACTTTACCAAACAGGATTAGGAATATATACCCCTGTGTAATTATACATCTCATGCATCTTGCCGAACTCGCTTCGCTGGCCGAGGAGATGGCAAAAGAGCGAGCGCTGCCTCGGGCATACACGTCCTCAGCTCAGCGTCGGACACGTCCAGTCCATGAACACTAGATAGATGCCGACGTACGTCATAGAGCCTGGCAAACTTGCGTGGGCATGCATCTAGTTCCTGGCCTTCGCCGGAGGCTTGCATACTGAGCGTGAGCCAAGGACAAGGAAGCACGCGCTCCCGATGGGCGCGCTTACGTGACGAGCCCAGCATGTGTGATAGGTGAGGATGAAGCTCTGTGGGCGAATCGGCAGAATCAGAGGAACTCGGAGACAGTGACGGCGCTTTTTCATGCAAAAGTTGGTGACGTGCGAGTAGGTGCTTGTAGCCAAACCGCTTCCCACATGTATTGCACTCAAACGGCTTTTGTCCCTCGTGCACGCGTGATATATGCACTTTTAATGCATAATGTGACTGGAACACTTTGTCGCACCCATTCCATGGGCATTCCCATGTGGTTGAAGAATACGCTGCATGCGTCTTTTGGTGCCGCTTCAGGTTGTCGCGATTCGCAAATACCCGGCCGCATATGTGGCATGTGGGTGGGTGGCACAAGCGCATATGCCGCTGCAAGTGCGTCCAGGTTGAGAAGGACCATGCCTGCAGCGCCTTATCGACGGTATAGGGTGGGTGACCTGGTGGCGGTGTAGACGAATGGGCCAGGACGCACTGGTATCTGCCCTTCTCGTGCACACGCATATGCTGCTGTCTCTTTGCATACGTTGCAAATCGCTTGTCGCAACCTTCATGTTCACACGTATACGGCAAGTCGCCGGACGAAAAGTCGGCGTGAGCCTCTCGAACATGGTGTCGTAGATATTTGCGCTTTGAGAATACACATGAACATCCCTCATGTGTGCATGGGTACAGATGGGAGACGGATGTATTTGTTTGTAGACCGCTTGTGTCCATGCCTGAGCCCTCTTCGGGGGGCGCGTGGCAGGAAGCCGTATGTCGGCGAAGGTGTTGGCCCGTCCAAAACCGCTTACCACAACCTGGATGTCCACATGTAAAAGGTTTAGCTGAATCGCTCATATGGGAGCGCATGTGTGCAGCCAAATGAGATGCACGCATGTAGGTGGCACTGCACCCAGGATGAGAGCATACATATGGGCGCTGGATGCATGAGTGTCAATTCACGTACCTCGCCGGTATGCGTCCGTTGGTGCTCGATCAAGCGCGATTCCTTCGAATACGCTTTTCCACATCCATCTATCGTACAAATCCACTGAGAGGGACCCTTTTCAGCGTGTTCCTCCGCCGTGCTGGGCGCCGGCATATCATCGTGTCGGTCGCTCCCAGCGTTTCCACCCTCCACTGGTCCCAGGGAGGAGGATGTGTCACGTGCCGAGAACCAGGGCGCTACCAACCTCGACTACCAACCTGCCTTGGCCCTGGCGAACGCCACGGGGATAAAACTGGCCTCGATCTGCTTGCCACCAAAGAATCGTCCATGTAGACTTTTTCGTGCAGATTGGGCTTGGTTTTCATCGGCAAAGCACACGTAGACCTCGCCATCGGCGCTGTCTTTGTCGACATGCACCATCTGCACCTCGCCATGACGGACACATTCGTCCCGCACATCTTCACGAAGGTCGGCTGTCCAGTTAGGGTCCGTTTCTTCTGCAGGGTTAAACATGTACTTGAGCAAAATGGCAGAAGAAATGGCTTCTGGGATAGACCATGGGCGAGTGGGGACATGATTGTCCGGGTCATTTCTCGCGAGCTTTTCCATGAGGGCGAATTTCTTGTCGGCTTGACTCATAGGATCACGGGCATGGGCATGCTGTGAAGGGTCACTCTGTGTAGCATGATCAGCACCACCCGCGCCTCGAACACCAGCAAGTCCGACCCTCATTCTACGGCCCGACAACTCAAAGCCATTTAATTGCTCGATAGCTTGCTGGGCTTGCTCCGCGCTCCGGAACTGAACAAATGCAAAGCCCTTGTTTTTGCCAGTCATAGGGTTGATGCTCACTTCAACATCATCAATCTGACCAAACGGCTCAAACACGGCACGTACATGGGGTGCAGCGATATCAAAGTGCAGATTGCCCACATACAAGCGTGCATCTGGGTTAATCGAAGCAGGACCCCCTGGCATGGCATGAGCGGGGGGCAGGATCGGGCCTGTCGGTGCCGACATGGAGACGGGCGCTGTCATCGACGAACCTGCCGACCGGGGAGGTTCATACAATTGCACGGCATAGTGTTTCACGGCATTCTCTGCCTGCTGTACAACGATAGGAGCGCCAAACATGCGTTTTCCTGTAAGCTTCAGGGCACGAGGGACCAGATCTGGCCGTGCCAATTCCACGTAACCTATGCCTTTCGAGAGGCCTGTCTTGAAATCCACTTCCACCTGGACGTCCAACACAGTATCACGACCCAAATATTCTTCGAAAAACTCGCCCAAGTCGCGTTGGGCCACACGCGAGTCCAGCTCGCTGCAGAACACGGAACGCTGTTCATATTCAGACTGCGAGGCCCCATGACCATGGCGAGACCATGGAGGGCTGCGGCTGCGACGGCGCGAATAACCACCTCCTGAATAGTCATTACGTCGTCCACCAGGTCCACCTGCACCGCGGCGACGATAAGGGGGCGGAGTGTCTTCGTAAGACGATCGGCCATAGTCGTGCGACGCATCCTCGCGCCAGCGAGCACGACTGTCTCCGTATGGGGGATCTTCTCCGCGACGCCTTGAAGCACGCCTATCGTCATATCCATTCCCTGCTACCTCATGCGAGGGTGGGTCCTCGCGTGTCTCACGACGGCGCGAGTCTACGGCACGACGGCGAAGCTCTTCCTGCAAGTAACGCTCACGCTCCGCAGGATCCATAGACGCAGACATGGTATCAGAAGCCAAAGACTTCCGGAGAGCCTCCTCCCTGTCTGCGTACATGGTGAAAGCAGAGCGTGATGGAGGAAAAAAGTGGGTGGCTAGAACGAAGGGCCAGGCGCGCGAGAGCAAGGCAACGGACCCACTACTGCACGTGATAAAAATGGACACGACGGGATTTGAACCCGCGACCTACCGCTATCTGCGAATGCAAAGCGGACGTGGTAACCACTCCACCACGCGCCCGATCAATGGAGGCATTGAAATTCTGGCCCTCTTTAGGTAAACTTCAGTAAGGAGCGGCAGTGTCCAGCTGAACGTCTTCTTCCGCAGGCGCCGGGACCACACAGCAGAACGAATGCGCATCCAAAAGAACGAGAGTTTGACCATCGGGTGACCATGAGAGATGATGTGCCGAGAAGGAAGAATTGGGAATAGCCACAGCTTCAGCGACCTGCAGCGCATAGTCCCCTGCCTCACCATGGATAGTCCATAGAAATACAGCCTGTTGACCTGTCGCCACAGCCAAACAAGCCGTGCCACTTGGTCTCCATGCGACGCTTTCCACAGGATGGGAAAATACAAGCATAGCAAGAGGGCGCAAGTACGCATCAATGCGGCGCTCTGTCCAGCCCACAAACTCATGAACGAAGAGTACAGTTGGTAAATTCTGGTTCGTGCAAGCTAGCAACGTGCCGTCTTGGTTCCATTGCATCCATTGGATGCCGTTTTGAAAAGGAGTAGCAGCATCCTCTGTGCGAATCGTTGGTACTTCGATAGGGAAGGTTGATGACTCGAAAGAAACAATGCCTTGGCCTCGAGTCGCTTCGAACCAGCGATGCGGCTCCAGCCATACTTGCGGTGCCTCATTCATGGACCGCAAGGCAGAGGTACTGAAATCGAGAGAATACACCAAAGACCAATCCGCCTGGTGCAAGATATGTACTTGCTCGTCGTATCCACCCAGCGCCAAAAATTCACTGGACGGATGCCAGCTGACTTGACGAATACCCAATCCGCCCCCTGCCACGCGCTGCGTCGAAGGACTAGGATGAGAGGATATGGATGCGCGCTTAGAAGCTTGCGAAGATTGCACGGTAATGCGTCGTCCGCGGCCTGCGGGTGAGGGAGCCAGAGCTTGTTGGACATCCGCCCTAGACAGTGGCGTCTCTGTATAGGGGACGCCGTCCTCATTCAAGGTAAACGTGGCAAGATGTGTGCCATAAAGCGTGTGAATCGACAACCTGTATTCCAGCGCCGAGTCCCAAGCGGCAAGGAGATGACCGTCAGGGCTCCATGCTACGCCAGCAACGTCATGGGTGGGCAAATGAATAATTTGTTGGGGCTCCCACACAACAGGGTTGTCCAGAGTGGGCGCATCAGGTGAACTAGGCCGAAATACAAGGAGACAGTCTTTCTCCTTTTCTCGCTGCGCCATGATAAAGTGTTCGGGCCAGTTGCTATTCGAATAGACTGCGTAAGTAGTCGTAGACATACTTTGAGGCAGAATAGCACGAGGCAAAATCGTGATACCTTGGTCAGCGAGTGAATAGACGACAGCACTACCCTCCAGCCCCGAAAACTGTACGAAACATGGGATGCGTTTGAGTGGGATCCATGCGGCGTGAACAAGGCCTTGAACGCCTGCAGCAACACGCGCCACCCAGCCGAGGTGGTCGTCAGAGCCATCAGTGACGGCAGTATCTGGGTCTAAAGGCAGCACATACGATACACCATCGCTCTCTTGTGGTGCGTTCTCCTTGCTCTTAGAACTTGCAAGAAGATAGAGACCATCACTGGACCACGATAGGCTGTCTAACGCGACGTCCAACTCCCAGGAACGAACCACTTGCAAGGTTCCTGAAACACGCACTAGCACTTGGCGCCTGGATTTACCGGCAATGTATGCAAGAAAGGTAGATCCAGGTGAAAATAGTACACTATCCCATAAAGCATGGGCATAGGTGGATGTGAAATCCATCCGATCTGCACGACGCGCACGACGCGCCCAAGGTTGGTGGAACAGCTCCACTTGGTCTCCCTGACCAGTCAAATGATTTGGGAAACGTGCCCCCCACACGTGCCCCAAAGTACCGTGCGTTAGTCAGCGAGTCGCCCAGTGTGTGCACGTTCGTCGGCTATCAGGCGTCTAGGGCCCCCGGTGGCGGCCCTGTCTTTTCCCTAGCGTCTCTTGTACTCATTTGTAATTGATCAGAGAGCCAGTGATGATACGGACTCAGTCTGATCCGATCCTGGAAGCAGTTTCTTACCCATATCCTGTTGATCGGAAGCGCCGTAAACTGCGTGTGGCGATCGTGACGGGTACGTGCGAGTGCGACTTACCTCTCAGAGAACTTTCTCCCGAAGATTGACGGTGTCACGCGCACTCTCGGCAGGCTTCTGGAACACATGCACAATGAGGGACATGAGGCTATCGTAATGGGCCCTGATACGGGTCTGAAGGAGTATCTGGGTCACCCGGTGGTGGGAACGTTTGGTATCCCCATTTTGGTGTACCCTGGATTGAAGCTCAACTTTGCACGATTGCGCTTTATCCGACGCTTGCAGCAATTCCGCCCTGACGTGGTGCACTTTGTGGATCCCATTTGGCTGGGAGCGCAGATGATCCCCCTGTGCAAGTTTTACTTGCCGAACGTGCCGCGAGTGTCCTCTTATCATACCAACCTTCCCACGTATGCCTCCTTGTTCGGATGTGGCTTCCTGGAGCCGGTTATGTGGAAGCTGACGCGTTCGCTCCACAATCAATGTCACATGGTGTTCTGTCCGAGTGAAAGCACGCGGCGCATGCTGCAAGCGCGTGGGTTCGAGAACGTTGAAATTTGGGGTCGTGGCGTCGACGTGGATATCTTTACCCCGGCGGCACGCGACGAAAATCTGCGTGAGAGCTGGGGCTGCAAGCCCAAGTCGCAAGCGCTTCTCGACACGCTCCATGACCAAGCCCTCTCGCTGGGACCCAATAAGAGGCTATCTCCGGAAGACGCCTTTATCCGTACGCCCGACACGATTCCTGTGTCGGAGCTTAGCCCCCCGCCCGCTTACGAAAGTTTGACGGATGTGCCGCCGCTGCCTGGCACGAGCTTTGCGCTTCCCCCTGCCTTGCTGGACGCCTCTGTCGACCAAGCCATGCCAACGACATCGGCTGCTCAGGATAGTGACAGCAAAGCTGTGGTGCTATTCGTCGGTCGTATCAGCTGGGAAAAGAACATTCGCCTACTCGTGGAAGCATTCCATCTGCTGCCTCACAGCGTCAAAAACAATGCAAAACTGGTAATTGTGGGAGATGGTCCCGCCCGTGCAGAGCTTACGCGGCTATGCCAAAAGTATGGTCTGGATGCATCGTTTATGGGCCACCAAAAGGGCAAGCGTTTGGCATCTATGTATGCCAGCAGCAGCATCTTTGCTTTCCCGTCTTTCACCGAGACGTTCGGTCAGGTCGTCCTGGAAGCGCTCGCCTCAGGTCTGCCTGTCGTGGGCCTGCATGCCGAAGGCACTTCGGACCTCGTGTGCCATGGCACCACAGGCCTGCTCCTCGATACACAGCGGGCTGTTAGTGCAGACGACGCTAGTCCAGCCCCGGTGCCTGCGGCGTCGACGGCGCCACAACAAGACCCGAATGCGGTGCATCTCGGCGAGCAGACGCCCCTGCCGACATCCAGTGGGCGCGCTGTGCCTGTGGCAGCCGCGGGCCACCTAAAGCCTGGCCTTTCTTCCCCGATCCCGTCCGTGAAAGAGTTTGCCATGATCATGAGCCACAACACACGCTCTTTCCACCAGTGTGCTCAGGCCTACAGTATCCTGCTAGAGTGCCTGATTCGCGACCGTACGCTTCGTGCAACGATGGGCCAACGTGCGCAAGAATATGCCTCGAACAAGACATGGTGGGATGCTATGGAGGCGCCTATCCGTGGCTACGAACAGGTTATTGCCAAGGCCGGTCGGACCAATCTGACGGACGCGGAACTCGAGGCGCTGCGAAATGCGCAGCGCAAGATCGCACCCCTCTCTGGACCTTACATTACGGCGCTGGTGGCGCTGTATCTGGCTTTCTTTATTGTTATGTGGACATATCTCCTGTAGTTGGTATTCCGTGATGATATGACAACCTACGATGCCTAGTGACGTGGGCCCTTGACGCGATCAAAGACGTCCAGAGCACTAGGCTCCTTGGGCGGCGCCGGCGGCGCTTGTGTCTCGCGACGCCGAGCCTTTTCACGCTGGTACTTTTCGCGCAACGCAATCGTATTCGCATCCACCACATTCTGGCGCTTCTTGCGCAAATACTTCTTCATGGCACTGTTGCGTCCCCGCGCCTTGTTCTTTTCTTTCTTGACACCTTTGGCGGGCATCGTAGGTTGCGCTGCTTCGTCGTCGTCTTCGACGAGAGCAGCAGATTCAGCATCCAGCGTGCCATCCAGCTTGAGGCGCTGCGCGCGAGAGAGTCGCGAATACGGCGTGCCATCCGCCGCTCGCCGCACCGATCCAGGCCCTGAGATAGAGGCTGCGAGCGACTGTGCTTCGCGCGAGGCGCGTGTGTCGAGCTGTCCCATAGAGTCCGGATCGAGTGTGATCATATCCGGTTGAATCTTGTCCAGCAGGCTGTGCACTTCGCGCTCGCGGCGCCGAGTCTTGGTCTCAAACGGATCCGCCTCACTCGTATCAAACGTTGGCTCACCCGCACCAGGCACCAGCAGGCTTGAAAATCCATTGGCATGGCCCACACCGAGTACGTCTTCAAAGGGACAGAAGCGAAGCTGAAGCGGTGCACACTGCGGCATACCATGCGTCAAATACGGCCCCGGAGGTGCATGGCCCAAAGGAGCCTCTGTATTGTATAGACTGACATGATTGCCCCATGCCACACCCAACAGACCGCGTTGTGAATACTGGACATCAGAAGCTGCACGCCGCGTCACCCACTCGCGGCGAGGACCACGGCCAAGCATGCGCGTGTCCCACACTTTGACAGTACCATCCAGGCCACTGGTGACCATCTCTCGCCCACCGCGGTGAGCATCCACAGAGAGGCCAGTCACTGGACCGTGATGCGCAAGCATCTTCAATGTAGGTGTAGACAGGTTGGGTGTCCACATAGTGACCGTGCCATTCGCATGACCCAGCTGAATCACAGCAGTCAGTGGATTTTGGGCCATGGTGGCGCATGAGCCGAGGCCGGTTCGGTGTGACGCTACCATCACACCCGTTGAGGTATCTTGATACTTGAGGTA